TTTCTCTTCCATCCCTTCTTCTGACCCAAAATATACCCATTCTCAGATTTATTTTTCTGTCTTTCTTTGTATCTCCATCAGTTTGCATGGTGCCTGGCACAAAGCAGGAGCTTACTAAATGCTGATTGGTCAGCTGAACAGCTATCCTCTAAGCTTCCACCTCTTTTCATTTATGTTCAACTTTTTTCTCCAAGTGAAAAAATTTCTGGTTATGGCTCTAAGTTTTTACTTAAACTCCTGATCACTAAGCCAGAAGGGTTCCATCTAATGTTTCTGTGTTTTAAGTCATGGTCCTAACCACCACCACAGAACGAATACAACAACACTCAGCATTTTGAATTTGCAGGCACAATTCTATAACTTAGGCTGTTGTGTTTGCCCAGGGTAAATGGACTTAGAGAGGAAAGTCACTTGTCAGCCTCGTGTGTATTGCCCATGACTTTAAAAGCATGGCTATGTCAACATCATGGGATCATTAATCATAGATGTAGCTGGAAAGGATGTTGCAAACTGCCTAGTCCAATTTACTCATTTTATATATGAGGAAACTGAGGACCAAGGAAGTTAAATGATTTTCCCTAAGTTTACACAGGTGGAAAGTGACAGAAAGATTTGAATTCTTGTCCTTTGGCTCTACAGTCAGTACACATTCCATTGTGAAACATTATCTTGTTTTACACTTTTTTCCCACTTAATTTCTATGGGTGACATACACAAAAACCCATATGGTTCTCTTTTTACATCATTCTAAGTTATAGTATTTTCATACCTGTATGGTCACATTTAAAACCAAGCTGCAAAGTGGGCTAGAAATTTAGAAAGGTTATCTAGCACCCTTTGCTCCTAGTGATCAGGATATTAGATAGAAAGTTGAGGTTTGTGTGGCAGGGAATTCCTGCACTCACCAATATGAAGACCTAAGCTCCCCAAATGGAATAGAGGCAGTGTAAAGCACAAACAAAACTCTCATCGTATCTTTTCCAATAGGCAGTTTTATCTTCTAGAAATAGACTTTCCACTTTTAGTGGGAGAATATTTGTGGAATGATTGTTTTTTTTTTCTTAAGTAGGATAAAGCAGGATTTACTTACCAAATATAATGAACTTTTCTCAATGCTCATCCTTCTTGACCTCTCTGTAGCCACTGACACTGTCAATCACCCTATTCGACTTCATGCTTCCTTCTCTTTAGGATTTTATGACAGCTTCCTGGTTCTCCTCCTACCTGTCTGTCCATTCCTTTTTCTCTTTTGCTGGGTCTTTGTCCAGAAAACATAGATGTTTCTCAAGGGGCTCTCCTAGGCCCTTCTCTTTTCCTTCCAAAATCATGGTTCTTAAACTGTTTTTGGAGTAAGGATCCTTTGACACTCTGTAAAATTATTGAAAACCCCCACAAAGAGTTTTTGTTTATCTGGATTGTACCCAATGAAATTTACTGTATTAGAAATTAAATCATTGGTATTATTATGAATACCCAGGGATCCTTGAACCACTCTTTTAGAACTGATACTCTGAACACTTTAGCCTAGGGATCTCATTAGCTCCCATAGATTCAATTATCATCTCTGTGAAATAATTCTCAAATTTATTTATCCAGTCCTAACCTCTCTCCTGACCTTCAGTATCACATTCCAAACTGCTGGTTGGATATCTAGAACTGTGAACTATAGATATCTGATCTCAACATGTCTGAAACTGAACTCATTAGCTTTGATGGTTTACTCTTTCTCATCCCCCATATCCAATGAATTGCTATTCCTTGTGGTTTCTACCTTCACAACATCTCTAGTACATGCCTCTTTCTCTCCTTTGACACTAATACCACCCTAGTATAGACCCCATCTCACAGCTAAACAATGCAATAGCCTGTTGGTTAGTCTTCCTGACTCAAGCCTCTCTCTACTCCAGTCCATCCTTTACTCAACGGTCAAAGCCATCTTCCTAAATTACCTCAAGGATTAAATATAAAATCATCTGTTTGGCTTTTTTTTTAAAATTTTTTTTTAATTTATTTTTACTTTTCACCATTCACTTCCACAAGATTTTGAGTTCCAAATTTTATTCCCATCTCATCCCTCTCCCCACCCCAAGATCTGTTTGCCTTTTAAAACCTGGCACAAACATCTTGTACTTCTCTTATCTTTCAGCTCTTCTTATACCTTTCTCTCCTCTACATTGTCTAGGATTAAGTGACATTCACCTCCTTGTATTTCCTCATACACCACACTCCATCTCCTGACTCCAGGCATCTCCACAGGCTGTTGTCCATGCCTGGAACACTCTCTCTCCCCAACTCCATCTCCTAGCTTCTCTGACTTCCTTCAGGTACCAGATACAGCCCCACCTGCAGGAAGAAACCTTTCCCAATGCCCTTAGTGCTAATGCCTTCCCTCTGTGATTATCTCTAATTTATCACGTATATATCTGGGCACAGTTGTCTGCATGATATTAGACTGTGAGATACATTTTGTTTTTATTTCCTTTTTTCACATCTCCAGCACTTAGCACAACATCTGGCACATAGCAGACATTTAATAAATGTCTGTTGGCTTCACTTGACTAGGAAGCCAGAGCAGGTCTCTTTGGTAAGACAGTCCTAGTGATTTGCTGAATGACAAGAGCCTCGGGCGAGGGAGTCAGAGTTCTACTTTCCAATTCTAGCCCAGTCACTGACCAGATGGAAGATCTTGAGAAACTCACTGAACCAATACGTGCCTCAGTTTCTTTAACTCTAAACTGCAATCAACAAGCTACCTCTTATCTCTGCATCTACTTTTTGGGGATATAACAAGAATTTATGTGAAAACACTTGGAGACTCTTGAAGCAAACATACGAAGAAAGGGAAATTTGCTTATTTGTAATTTCTATTTTTGAAGAAATCAGTCCCTAAATCAGGCAAGGTGGAAGTCTCACCATTGGAAACCTGTGATGTAATTCCCATTCAAAGAAATACACCAAGGACTATACTGTTGTTCTGGGTGGCTCTTGAAGGCCCCATCAATGCATTGGTCTTACAAAAAAATGCACTCTTCCTGTTGCCAACCATGAGGTTGATGGAGAGATGGAAGAAGTATGGCCAATAGGCTCCCATCTCCCTCAACCTTCAGCAACCAACTTTTCAGCAGAGTTTTGGCTACAAGAATTTTATTTCTGGAAATGATATAAAAAGGTAACAGTTGTATTTTTAGCCCCTAGGTTAACACTGCAAGGGCTGGCAACCGGAAACTTCACCTTCTGACCTGGATGAGGTGCTCATTTATCTGGAGATGCTAAAAGGAAAATAAATACCTACCCTCCTCCAGTTCCCCATGATGTCCCTTTGATAGTCAGTTTTTTGGCCCAAGCTGTCATCCTGTTTTTCCTGTTTTAGACAGCTAGCTCCTTGGCCTTCAAGATTCAGGGAACAATGTTGTTCCAGATTTCCCTCACCATACAGTTTATTTCTATGAGTGTGAGGAAGCATCAAGGACTAATGGATGGGAAGCTACTTTGAGAATCAAAAGACTTGGATTCCTATTCAAGGGCTTAGCCAGTTCCTTGTGTGGCCTTGCATAAGTCACTTATTTAAATTTTCCTGTCAACAAAATGGGACCTTATACTGTTCTCCCCTGAATGGGATGTTGAAAGTATGACTGAAAGAGGGAGTACGGTATATTGGCAAGAATCCAGAAAACCTAGTTTAATTCTTCATTCGTATACTTACACTTACAAGCCTGTGTGACCCTACGCAAGACTGTGCTCTTGAGAAATTCTCTGTGCTTTAGAGAAATTAATCATCTAGGCCAGGGGTCTGTAAACTGTGGTCCAAGGACCAAATCCTGCCTGGTCTAAGAATGGTTTTTATATTCTTTATTCTAAAATGTAAAAACCATTTTTAGCTCACAGGGCCATACAAAAGCAAGCTGCTTGGACTGCATGAGTTTGCCAAACCCTGATCTAGGGCAAGGGTTCTTAATCTGGGATCTGTGAGCTACAAACAACCAAATGAATGAATGAATGAACAAATAAATAATCAAATAAATAAATACACAGATAAATTAATAAACACACATATAGATATATAGAACTGTATTTCAATATAATTGAGTTGCTTTATAATACTATCGTATTTTATTTAATTTATTTAAGAAAAATTATTGTGAAGAGGTACCCATAGACTGCCAAACAAGCCCCTGCCATAAAAAAAAAAGTTAAGAACCCCTGATCTAGTGATTGAAAGAGCAATCTCCTGCATAATGGATCAAGAATATACGTGAAAGGTTGGCCTGGGTGAAGGGAAGGTTCACTTCTTCAACAAGATTGTAATAAAGGAGAGAATGAAGAATGGTGTCAAGGGGTGTTGAGGTGTACAGAATGGGCAAAGGAGCCCAATGAATGGTCTCTCTATTCTCAATAAAGTATGGGGTGAGATCCTCATATGGGTGGATGGGTATAGCTATAGCAGAAGGTATCAGGGTGGGGACCAAATAATGTGGGAGGTTTAATGAAGAAAGAAGAGTTTTTAAAAAGCCATTTTAGAGAGAAAGATGGATAATCTACTAAGAAGGAGCAAAACAGATTGCTTGCTGTGGCGTAGGGGAAAAAATGAGTTCAAATCTGATCTCAGACACATACTGGCTGTATGACCCAAAGCAAGTCACTTAACCTCTGTTTGCCTATTTCCTCAAATGCTGTGCTTCTTATACCAGGTTGCCTCACCAATCAACAAATTCAAAGGCATTTATGTGCTATGACTAAAAAAAAAAATATTTTAAAAAGTAGCCTCTGCTTTCAGTGACCTAATATTTTTACTGGGATATTTTTACACTATTATCTCCATTATCATTGGATAAATATGGTAGGTTTTAGTTGGAACTTAGAATTGGGGGGAAGTTCAGATAATGTATGATTTTGAGGTTCCACATGGCCTTAGTTTGTCATCCACCTGTTAATAAGTGGAATCTTCCCAAAGGGTGCTTCAGAGATATTGTGATGGAAGATGTTATTTTGTGTCTTTCCAGCAAGCTTCTGAAGATACAATGCCTGGAGAGTGGAAATTGGGAGCAAGGCAGCTGCATCCCAGTGGTGTGTGAACCCCCAGCTCCCATCTTTGAAGGCATGTATGCCTGTAGCAATGGCTTCAAGCTGGGTAGCCAGTGTGTACTCAGCTGTAACCTGAATCGACAAAGGGTAAGGAGAACCATGTGCATTTCATTTAGGGTAAGGCCATGTCCAAACCATTCTGGCCAATTTGAAAATGTGGAGGAGAAGTCCTTTGGAGGAATGTCAGCAACAACACTTTAGGAACGTGGTTTTCTAAATAGGTGTGTTGACTTTTCAGAAACAAACCAAAGCAGATGTTACAACCTTTGGTTGTATCTGAAACACTTCAAATGCATGGCAATGAAAGGAAATGGGGGTGATGGTAGTTCTATTTCAAGTGTTATGATGACTTACCATGTATGACTAGGGACTCAATATGTGTGTACTATACACATGTGTTGTTGTTCAGTCATTTCAATTGTGTCTAGCTCTTTGCGACCCTATTTGGGGTTTTCTTGGCAAAGATGCTGGAGTGGTTTGCCATTTCCTTCTCCTGCTTGTTTTATAGATGAGGAAACTGAGGCAAACAGGGTTAAGTGACTTGCCCAGGGTGATGAGTGTTCCAACTTCAGGCCCAGCACTCTATCCACTGTGCCACCTAGCTATCTTGTTTATATGTGTATACATATATATATATATGTATGTATGTATGTATGAATGAATGTATTTTTCTGTATAAAAGAGCTCTTAATAAGCAAGCAAGCAAGCAATTTTCACAGCAGACATTAAAATGTGGTCTGACTGTTTGCCTCTCAACAATTTGGCCCAAGGGTTCAGAAAGCAAAAACCACAGTCTTATCATGACGATGGCTGAAGTCAGTTTTATTTTAGAAACTTTTCAAATACTAAACCCTTATGTGGGAGGGGGGGACCATGTGGGCTGGTTGGAAAAAGTAATAACTGCTCCTTCTTTCCTGGCCCGGCTCCTCCCCTCCATACCCAGAGCTCCCAGTCTCTTGAGAGTGAATCCCATGGGATAAAAATGAAGAGAACATGCAAGGTTACCAGGGACCAGCAAAACTGAAATAGCTCTTTTAGGCTGCCAGGTTAAGAGAATGAGTGAGGGGGCCAGAGCTAGGTGGAATTCTGAAATGTTGCCTCTTTGAAGGTTGTGAGATCCATGTTCTCCATCCAGTTGTTGACCTAATATGCTTTTGTGATTCCGTGGGGGTAGCAGCCAGGAAGAGTGACCCAGCCAAGAGTTATCATGATAAAAAAAAAGAGGACATAGACTTGGCCAGATCAGAGATCATGCTGTGAGTGAGACTATGCAAGCAGGGAGAGATGAAGCAACTTCAAGAAGATAGGCAGAGAAATAGCAATGAGTAGACTTCATGGCTTAACCTGGTGAGCTATTTTGTACATGTGCACTATTGGTCACAGGGGAAGAGATCAGGTTAATGGAGAGGAATCAATACCAAGGCAATTGTTGGTGCTTCCCTCCTCACTATGTTATATTTTATATGGTTTTTTTTTAATTGACTTATCTCTGTACCTAATTTTCCTTCAGTAGCATATAAGATTCTAGAAGGCTGGGATTATTTCTTCTTGCCTTTGTACTCCCAGAGTGTAACGCAATGCCTTGTACTTATAGGCATTTCATAATTACTTGTTGAGAAAATGAATGAACAACTAAAGGTTGTAATTTCTCTACTTATGATAGATCAATGATAAATGAATAAATAATGAACTTACTAGCTTGTGAAAATATGAGTGATCTTATATTCCTGTTCAAAAGAAGCAGATATTGATGATTAAATTTCAGGGGTAAAAATGGGTTTGTACCTATGTACCTTTCCTATAAGAAAGGTAAAGAATTATCTTAGTGTTTGTAAATAGTCATATGAATTAATACTTTGTCTCAGTCATTTGCTACTACTAATTAATCTGTCCACTCTTTATTTTAACAAACTCCTTTGTGAAGAGTTTTTAACAACACAAATCTTTGGTATCTTTTTGCATTCTAGAAGCCCATAATTTGCACTAAAGAAGGTTTATGGACAGAAGAGTTTAAGCTGTGCGATAACCTTCAGGGGGAATGTCCTCCACCTCCAGAGCTGAATTTAGTGGAATACAAGTGTGAACAAGGATATGGAATTGGTAAGGATGAGAAAGGATGCTGAATTCTGCCTTAAAAGATATTAACAAAAGGGTTTTAAAAAATCTTTTATTAAGCCTGTCTAGGCTTTGAATCAGATCTGTTGCTTTCCCCAAGGATTTGATGGAAAGGCCTGTTGATTCTTAGCCGCCTCAGTAAAAATGAAATTTATGGTGAAATTGTTTCCTTTTTATTCTTCTGCACACACATAAATTTGATTGGGCTCCTTGGACACTTGCATCATGTCTGGTCATGTTACCAACCTCAAGCCATGTGGCTGAGAGTGGCTTCTGAGTAAGGATTTAGTATTTCCAGGGGCAAGAGAGAGCAAACACAACTGATTATGCTTATTAGCAGTTTTCCTCCACGCTTTCTGCCATGGTTACTGGAGCGGAGAGTTCTTGGAGGGCCTATGTGATAATACAACTCCTGTGCGACTCTTCAGCTGTCTTTCTCTACAGGGGGCTGAGAGCTGGAGCCTGCGGGCAGTCTCTTATTCAAGTCATTGCAATTAAAGTTCTGTTTAGCCAGGTCTGATTTATAGAGATGTTGAAAAACCCAGAAGGCCTTGAGTCAGCAACATGTTGGCTGCAACTGGAACCTTTAGCAAAGGGACACAGTCTGTGGGAAACACACTGAGACTCTACTAGGCCTAGGGATAGTCTTTACAAACCATTCTATTTTGTGTTAGACTATTAGGCTCTGCAGAGGGGCTGAATTAGTCAGTCAGTCAATTAGCATTAATTAAACACCTCAAATGTGCCTGGTAATGTGCTAAGCTCTGGTTTACAGAAATCATTTTATTAGCCTCTGGCTTTGGGGCTCATAACTTTCAAGTCAATCTCTTTACCACTATAGCAAATGGCTATGTAGATAGGAATGTTGCAGCAGAAGTGATATTGTCTAGTGATAAATCTAGAACAATAATAATCAGATCATGATTCTCAGGCCACTTGGAGGGCTCTCTTCTACTTGTATCTTACAGATCCTCAAGGACTTTTAAGTTATTTATTAAAATATTATGCTAATTTAGTTCCAAGAGAGCATCTAGTAGCTATTTGGGGTTAATAATAATTTCAAATGTGACTCCAGAATCATATAAGACTGCAAGCTCCCATGAGTGGGAAAATGGGACAAATCTCAAAGAGTATGATTTTTCATTGGGTAGAATTTTATTTTATTGATTATTTAGAATTAAGAAAATAGAGTTCTGCTTCTGGAAGCCAAGATGGTGGAGTAATAAGTAAGTTACTCTCACTGTCCCTTATTAACCTCTGAAAGCCCAGAAAATATCTCCCCAGGAAAAATCTTGGAACAGCTGTACCAGCAGAAAGATGGGGTGCAGCAGTCTGGTAGCCTAGGAAGCTTGAGGGATTAACAGGAAAGGCCCCTCTTGAACTGGGGGAGGGGGAGCAGTGCAGAATGGGAAGCGTCCCAGCAAGTTAGTGGAAAGCCCCACCTCAGCATACCAAAGCGAGATCCTGAATCCTAGGTGGGGGAGCAGGCAAACACCAACACCAGGACCCCCAAGTGCCTCAGTATGGGCAGGTGAACCAGTGGAAACTGGCTTGGAAAACCACCACATGCCTTGGCATTCTATGACAGCCAAGTCACCCAATGCCTCAGCAAAACTCTGGGAAGCACTCCAAGGAGGAAAGCCCCAGGTGGAGAAATATCCTGCAGCAGTGAAACATCCATCTGAAAGGAGTTGAAGAAAGCAAAAGGAAAAGCCCAGGTGAGCAGGCAATCTCCAGCAGTCAGACTACCCAATCCTACCCCTAGAGTTCAGTATTGCTGATTCTAGCCCAACACCAGGTAAGCTGCCAGAACCCTATAGCCTCCAACTGCCAGCATCAGAGGCCCCAGCACACAAAGCCAGTGACCAGGCCAAGGGCTGCCAACACATGAAGCTTGGGTCAGTGCCCCTTGCTCCCCAGCAGGAGAGCTCAATCTTTTTAAAGGCCAGGGAAAAAACAAACAGCACGAGCAAAAAGAAACATGAGATAGATTATTATTACAGGAACAATGAAAATCAAAGCAGAAATTCTGAAGAGGACAATGTTGGCAACAAACCCACATCTGGAACCTCAAAAGGGAATATGAACTGGTCTGAAGCCCAACAAGCCTTCTTGGAAGATCTCAAGAAGAACTTTAAAAGTCAAATGAGAGAGGTAGAAGAAAAATTGGGAAAAGAAATGAGAGGTATGCAAGAGAGAGTCAATAGCTTGGAAAAGAAAGGACAAAAATTAACTGAAGAAAACAACTCCTTAAAAAGCAGAATTGGTCAAACAGAAACGGAGACACAAAAACTCACTGAGGGGAAGAATTCCTTAAAAAATAAAATGGGCCAAATGGAAAAGGAGGTTCAAAACCTAATAGAAGAAAACAATTTGTTTGAAATTAGAATTGGGGAAATAGAAGCTAATGACTCTATGAGAGAGGGAGAAACAGTCAAATAAAAACAAAACAATGGAAAAAAAAGATGAAAATGTAAAATACCTCATTGGTAAAACAACTGACCTGGAAAATCGATCCAGGAGAGACAATTTAAAAATTATTGGTCTACCTGAAAATCATGATAAAAAAAGAGCCTGGACAATACCTTTCAGAAAAATCCTCAAAGAAAACTGCCTTGAGGTCCTAGAACCAGAGAGTAAAATAGGCATAGAAAGAATCCACCGATCACCTCCTGAAGGAGATCCCAAATTGAAAATACCAGGGAATATAGTAGCCAAATTCCAAAATTACCAGGTGAAGGAGAAAATACTACAAGCAACCAGAAGGAAACAATTTAAATATCATGGAACCACAGTTAGGATTATGCAGGACCTTGCAGCTTCTACATTAAAAGATTGTAGGGCGTGGAAAACAATATTCTGTAAGGCAGAGGAGCTTGGATTATAACCAAGGATCAACTCCCAGTGAAAGTGAGCATAATCTTTCAGGGAGAAGATGGACATTCAATGAAATAGGGGACTTCCAAACCTTCCTGATAAAAAGACCAGAGCTCAACAGAAAATTTAATCTTCAAATACAAGACTCAAGAGAGACATAAAAAGGTAAACAGGACAGAAAAAAAACACACACACACGTTATGAATAAGGGCAAACTGTTTACATCCCTAGAGGGGAAGTTGACACTTGTAACTCTTGATAACTATATTGTTATTATACAATTTTAAAGGGGTATACATAGAGGGGGTAGATATAAGCTCACTTTGATGTAATGATAAAAAAAATTATTCAAGTGGGTTAAATGGATCTAAGTAAGTGGATTAATCTGATCTAACTAAGGGAAGGTACTGGGAGACAAAGAAGGCAGGAGGCAATCAAGGATAAATTACCTTACATGAAAAGACATAAAAACCTATTATAGTAGAGGGAAAGAAGGGAGGGAGATGAGCATTGTTTGAACCTTACTCTCATCAGATTTGGCTCAAGTAGGGAATAACATAACCAGTTAGGTATAGAAATCTAACTTGTCCTATAGGCAGTAGGAGGGGAAAGGGGAAAGAAAATGGAGGGAGGATAGAAGGGAGGAAGAAGTAGTAAGGGTAAAGGGGAAGAAAAGAGAGGGGGCTAAGCAGAAGGGAGGTGTGACTGAGGGATGCGGTGGTCAAAAGCAAAACACTAGTGAGGAGGGAAAGGGAGAAAGGAGAAAGAAAAGCATAAATGGCGAGGGGGGGATAGGATAGAGAGAAAGACACAGAAAGTAATCATAACTGTGAATGTGAATGGGATGGACTCTGTCATAAAACAGAAGCAGGTAGCAGAATGGATTAAAAACCATAATCCTATAATATGTTGTTTACAGGAAACACATTTGAAACAGAGGGATATACTCAGGATAAAGGTAACAGGCTGGAGTAGAATATATTATGCTTCAATTGAAGCAAAAAAAGCAGAGGTGGCAATCCTGATCTCAGACAAAGCAAAAGCAAAAATAGATCTTATCAAAAGAGGTAAGGAAGGAAACTACATCCTGCTAAAAGGCACCATAGGCATTACTAAACATATATTCACCAAATGGTATAGCATCCAAATTCTTAGAGGAGAAACTCAGGGAGTTACAGGAAGAAATAGACATCAAAACTATACTAGTGGGGGACCTCAACTTCCCCCTCTGTGAACTAGATATATCTAACCACAAAATAAACAAGTAAGAAGTTAAGGAGGTGAATAGAATTTTAGAAAAGTTAGATACGGTAGACCTCTGGAGAAAATTGCATGGGGATAGAAAGGAATATCCTTTTTTTTTTTGGTGGTACGTGGCACCTACACAAAAATTGACTATGTACTAGAGCATAAAACCTCACAATCCAGTGCAAAAAGGCAGGAATATTAAATGCATCCTTTACAGATCATGATACAATAAAAATTATATGTAATAAAGGACCACAGGAAAGATAGACTAAAAATAATTGGAAACTAAATAATCTAATCCTAAAAACAGAATGAGTCAAACAACAAATCATAAAAACAATCGAAAACTTCATTCAAGAGAATGACAACAATGAGACAACATATCAAACTTATGGGATGTAGCAAAAGCATTTCTTGGGGAAGTTTTATATCTCTAAATGCTTACATGAATGAAATAGAGAAAAAGATCAATGAATTGGGCATGCAACTAGAAAAATTTTGCATAAAACTAGGAAAAGAATTAAGAAAATAGTGGAGACAATGTCAACAATGAAGCCCAAGTGAAAAAAAAATGTGTCTTGCTTATTTATTTTTCTAGAGAGGCAGTTGTTAATGTTAAGCAACACACCACTATGGACAGAAATTTAGAAAAGAACTGAAACCCAAGCACCATCAAGTACCCTGGAGTTTTCCCTTTCTGAGTCCAACTCATTTTGAAGGCCTCATTCTTTTCCTTTTTAGAGTCACCCCATTCCACACCTTCCCTCCCCACCTTCCTCCTTAAAGCATACAGATTTCTTGGTTACTGCCAAAAAATTTATTCTGTGCAGCAGGAAGCTTCAGCAATGTTATTTGCCTTTCTTGATATCCCAGATTTCTGGATCATCAACCTCTTTCCAACCAGCAGAGTTCAAAGGCAGCAGCTGCTGCTAAAATAGTGTCTTTGACCTCTGGGAGTTCTTCTAAGTGTGAGAATATGGTGGCCCACAGAGCTGAAATATGTAACAACAGCATATTTCTGTAAATTTTGACTTGGAAGTACCCTTGCAAAACTAGAAGTCATTGCTTCCAAGATGAAAAAAAAAGGGATTGAGAATAGAAGAAATTTTAGGCCTTTGTGTGAATAATCTGATAGCATACTGTGCGTATCTCTTCCTCTAGGTGCCATGTGTACGCCATCCTGTATAATCCCCCCTAGTGATCCAGTGATCCTGCCTGAAAACATCACTACTGACACTGTGGAACATTGGATGGAACCTACCAAGGTCCAGGTAAGGAGAGATCTCATTATGATTTAAGTATGAATATGCTAAGTACTTTCAAAGCATTCAGAATTTTAAAAGAGAACCTGGGTGAGCCTGAAAGATCTTTAGAGGATTTTGAAATGGAACAATGAGCAGCGGAAGGGTTTTACTTTAATGCATGACAGGACCTGAGTTTAATTGTGTCTCAGACACTTATTACCTGGATGACCCTAGAAAAATTATTTCATCTCTCTGGGCCTTAGTTTCTTTTCCGGGTAAAGTGAAGAGTTTGGACTTGTTGGTCTGAAAGACCCCTTCCAGCTCTTAAATCTAAGATACTGGGAATAGGAAAGGTTGAAGGCTTTCTGAGTACAAAAGACCAACAAAATGATTTATAACATTAAGGAAACACCAACAGGAGCCTCGGGCTGTGGCACTGTGCCCACTCCCTCTCTCTAAAAAGCCCTTTTGCTTTGGACTCAGGCACATAATCCAACTATAAAACCTAGCCTCCAGTGAGAGGGGTACTAGGCTCTCTTTTCCTGTGTTTGTCAACTTGCTAACCCCCAACTCAGGCAGTAGGGAGAAGTTATTTATAGCTTAGGGTTTAGAGTCATGTCTCACAAGGGAAAGAATGAAAAGATATTCAGTGTACAATAGGAATCAGATATAGGACAGATATTTTATTCTAACATGTAAAAGAAATACTGAACACTTAAAGATAAAACACCCATTGAGAAAATAGATTAAAACAAGATTCAATATCATAACATAACTACTGTTAAAATCTTCTAGGAAACTGACACTTCACCATCATTAGAACTCAAAACAGCAGGACTGCTGACTAGGCACTTTGCATTTCACCTTTGCTCTGTACTGTCTTCATCGAAGGAGGGTTCCTATTATTAATGTTCATCTTTTTTCTTTTTTTTAATTTTAAATTAAACATTTTATTTTTTCCCAATTACATGCAAAAACAATTTTTAGCATTTTTTAAAAATTTTGACTTCCAAATTCTAGCTCTCTCTCCCCATTCTTTGAGAAAGCAGGCAACTTGATATAGATTATTCCTTTCATTTCATGTGCAATCATGAAAAACACATTTCCATATTAGTCATGTTGTGAAAAAGAACATTAAAACACATGAAAAAAAATGAAGTAAAGAATAGCATGCATTGATCTACATTTAAACTCCATTAATTCCTTATCTGGAGGGGGATAGCATTTTTCATCATAACTACTTCAGAACTGTCTTAGATCTTTGTCTTAATTATAGTAGTTAAGTCTTTCACAGTTAATCATCATACAGCATTGCTGTTATTTTGTGCAATGTTCTACTGGTTCTATTCACTTCACTTTGCATTATTTCATGCAAGTCTTTCCAGGTTTTTCTGAAAGCATCCTGCTCATAATTTCTTTATATATATACATACATACGTACATATGTACATATATACATATGTACATATATACATACACACATATGTATATATACACATATGTGTGTATATATATATAATATAAATTTATTTATTTTAAGTTTTCAATATTTACTTCCACAAGATTTTGAGTTTCAAATTTTCACCCCATCTCACCCCTCCCCCCACCCCAAGATGGCACGCATTCTGAATATCCCTTCCCCTAGTCTGTCCTCTCTTCTATCTCTTCCCCCCTTCTCTTATCCTCTTCCCCTTCTATTTTTCTGTAGGGCAGGACAGACTTCTGTACCCCATTTCTTGTATTTCTTATTTCCCAGTAGCATGTGAAAACATTTTTTTAAACATATGTTTTTAAAACTTTAGGTTTCAAATTTTCTCCTTCCTCCCTCCCCACCCACCCTCATTGAAAAGGCAAGCAACTCAATATAGGTTATACATGTGCAGTTATGCAAAACACTTCCATAGTAGACATGTTGTGAAAAACTAACTCTATTTCCCTTAATCCTATCCTGCCCTCCCATTTATTCTATTCTTTCTTTTGACCCTGTCCCTCCTCAGAAGTATTTGCTTCTGATTACCCCTTTCCCAATCTGCCCTCCTCTCTATCATCCCCTGCTCTCTTGTCCCCTTCTCCCCTATTTTCCTAGGGTAAGACAGATTTCCATACCCAATTGAATGTGTATGTTATTCCCTCCTTAAGCCAAATCCTATGAGAATAAGATTCACTCATTCCCTCTCACCTTCCCCCATTTCCCCTCCACTGTAAGAGCTTTTCTTTTCTGTTTTTTTTTGTGAGATAATTTACCCCATTCTACCTCTCCCTTTCTTCTTCTCCGAGTATAATCCTCTCTCATCCCTTAATTTTATTCTCCAGATATGACCCCTTAATCTTCAACTCACCCTGTGCCCTCTATCTATCTATCTATCTATCTATCTATCTATCTATCTATCTATATACATACATATAATTTTTTCCTCCAACTACCCTAATACTGACAAAGGTCTCATGAGTTATAAATATCATCTTTCCAATAGTCTCTTAATAAGTTCTTTCTCTGTTTACCTCTTCATGTTCCACTTGAGTCTGTATTTGAAAGTCAAATTTTCTATTCAGCTCTGGTCTTTTCATCAGAATGCTTGAAAGTCCTCTATTTCACTGAATGACCATTTTTTCCCCTGAAGGATTATACTCAGTTTTGCTGGGTAGGTGATTCTTGGTTGTAATCCTATCTCCTTTGCCCTCCATATTATATTCCATGCCCTGTGGTCCTTTAATGTAGAAGCTGCTAAATCTTGTGTTATCCTGATTGTGTTTCCACAGTACTTGAATTGTTTCTTTCTGGCAGCTTGTAATATTTTCTCCTTGACCTGGGAACTCTGGAATTTGGCTATAATATTCCTAGGAGTTTTCCTTTGGGGATCTCTTTCAGGAGGAGATCTGTGGATTCTTTCAATTTCTATTTTGCCCTCTGGTTCTAATATATCAGGGCAGTTTTCCTTGATAATTTCTTGAAAGATGATGTCTAGGCTCTTTTTTTGATCATGGCTTTCAGATAGTCCAATAATTTTTAAATTCTCTCTCCTGGATCTATTTTCCAGGTCAGTTGTTTTTCCAATGAGATATTTCACATTGTTTTCTAATTTTTCATTCTTTTGGATTTGTTTTACAGTGTCTTGATTTCTCATAAAGTCACTAGCTTCCAATTGCTCTATTCTAATTTTTAAGGAAGTATTTTCTTCAGTAATCTTTTGGACTTCCTTTTCCATTTGGCCAATTTTTCTTTTTAGGGCATTCTTCTCCTCATTGGCTTTTTGGACCTCTTTTGCCATTTGGGTTAGGCTATTTTTTAAGGTGTTATTTTCTTCAGTATTTTTTGGGTCTCCTTTAGCAAGCTGTTGACTTGTTTTTTGATTATTCTTTCTCTCCCAGTTTTTCCTCTACTTCTCTTACTTGCTTCTCAAAATCCCTTTTGAGCTCTTCCAAGGCCTGGGACTGATTCATATTTTTCTTGGAGGCTTTGGATGTAGGAGCTTTGACTTTGTTGTCTTCTTCTGGTTGTATATTTTGATCTTCTTTGCCACCAAAGTAAGATAATATAGTCTGACTCTTTTTGCGCTGCTTGCTCATGATCCCGGCCAATTACTTGAGTTTTAAACTCTTTGTTAAGGTAAGAGTCTGCTTCCAATGTGGAGAATGTACTGTCCCAAGCTTCAGGGGTTTGTATAGCTGTTTTCAGAGATACTTGTAGGGACCTGTAAATTTTCAGTTCTTCAAGGTGGTATGATAAGGGCGAGGTGTTTACTCCTTTCCTGGCCTGTGCTGTGGTCTATTAGTACACAAGCACTCCTTTCTGTCCTGGAACTGTGAGGAGGTTTCCTGTCCACAGCCACTACAAGCTCCACCACGCCAGTACTCCTCCTCACCCCAGGACCCCGCCACCAGAACTGTGACCTAGATCCAAACACGGGCAAAGAAAGAGATTCCTGCCTCAGCTCCGGCAAAGAGATCCCTGCAATCCCCCTCTGATCAGCCACTGGATTCCCCCCTCAGTCTGTGAGCTGGAAGCTCAGGAAGCAGCTGCTTACCCCAGGGCCACTTTCTGGGGGAATGGAGCTGAGACCCTGCCTTCCTTCTCAGCACTGAAACAGAATTTTCCCACTGACCTTCTAAGTTGTCTTTGGCATTCCTGGATTGAGGAGTCTGGAAAACCCCACAGCTGCCCAGATTCAGTCCTCTGAGGCCTGCTTCAGGTTTGCTGTGGTCTGCACACCCATGCCGCGCTGCACTGCCCTCCCAGCCCGGTGCGATATACTTTTCTGATCAATCATCCAGGTTGTCTTGGGCTGGAAATTTGTTTCACTCTGTCTTTTTGTGGGTTCTGCTGCTTCAGAATTTGTTTAGAACCATGTTTTATAGGTATTTGGAGGGGTTTGGGGGAGAGATCAAGGAAGTTGCTGCTTTCACTGCCATCTTGGCTCCACCCCGCTCATCATTTCTTATAGCACAATAGTATTCCAGCACAATCATATATAATTTATTCAGCCATTCCCCAATTGATGGGCTTCCCCTCAATTTCCAATTCATTGCCACCACAGAAAGAGCTGCTATAAATATTTTTGTACATATAAGTCATTTTCTTCCTTCCTTCCTTCCTTCCTTCCTTCCTTCCTTCCTTCCTTCCTTCCTTCCTTCCTTCATTCCTTCCTTCCTTTCCTTCCTTCCTTCCTTCCTTCCTTCCTTTCTTTCTTTCTTTCTTTCTTTCTTTCTTTCTTTCTTTCTTTCTTCTTTCTTTCTTTCTTTCTTTCTTTCTTTCTTTCTTTCTTTCTTTCTTTCTTCCTCTCTTTCTCTTTCTCTATTTCTTTTTTTCCCCATCTCTTTGGGGTACAGACCTAGTAGTGGTATTATTGTATCCTTTTACAAGGGTACACACAGTGGATAGAACACTGGTCCTGGAGTCAGAAGGACCTGAGTTAAACTCTGGCCTCAGATACCTAACACTCACTAGTTGTGTGACTCTGGGCAAGTCATTTAACCTCATTGCTTAGCAAAAAATTTAAAAAAGCAGAAGGGGCGGAGCCAAGATGGCG